CTGTCTATTATCTACCTTTTTACATTTTGGAAGAAGGGAACTGAAGATGAGAGCGGAGAATAAAGATAAGCTATGAGTCATTGAGGGAAAAATTGGGAAACCAAAAATACAAAGCATACAAACTCAAATATTCAAATACAAAGCATTGAGCAAAATCAGTGATTTTTATTCCAAAGTTAAAAAAGAAAAAAAGAAAAGTGTTATTTGCCAAATCCAGGAGGAGATTGGAGCAGTGCAGAAATTTTTAGCAAATGATGAGTGCTGCAAGCAGTGTTTTGTGATAACAGACATTTTGCAAAGCATTGGTGGTTTACTCTTACCTAAATTTTGAACAATCTGAGCTGAAAATTTGAAAGGACAGGGGGATGCACTTACAGAGCTCCTGGAGATCATGAACAAATCTTGTATAACTTGATACGATACAACACGTAGCTGTACAGCTGACAAATGCATTCATATATTAATGTTGGCTGCAGTGACTACACAGCTAGATGCCAGTCCTATGAGAAAACCCCAGAGAAGCAAGGGAGAAAAGGAGACCTAAAAGGCACCATAAGATTTGTTCAAGTAGATAACTAGAAAATGTGGTAACAAATTATTCTGTTGTGGAGACAAGTGCATGTGGGGACAAGTGGAGACTGCTAACATGGCATATGTTAAGGGCATCTGAGTGGCAGGCCACTCCTCTTGTGCTAGGCATGTGATCAGCAGTCTGCTTACCCTGTAGGCACAGCCCTGGGCTTGAGGCCACATGTTGAAGTCCCTGTGCTTGCTCCACGGTCCACTCCTCAATTAGTTGCTGCAAGGGCAGTTAGCAGAATAGCATTGGTGGCTGCTGTAATCAGCACTAACACCAGAATTACACAGAAGTTACAATTACCTGATGAGCATTTTAGAACAAGCATTATAAAAATACTTCAAAAAGCAATTACAAACATGCCTAGAAAAAGTAGAAGAAAATAGTGGCAGATGAATAGAAGATAAAAGATCAAATTAAAATTTGAAGAATTAAAGACAGAATAACCCAAATGATAAATCTACATGGATTTCAACAGTAGCTGGAGATAACAAGAGAATTTAATAAACTAGAAGAAAGAGCACTAAAATCTACTCAGTTTGAGCAATAGATGTAAAATAGAATGAAAGGGGAAAAGAAGAGAGTCTCAAAGGCCCGTGAGACTATAGGAAAAGTCCTAGCTTTTCTGTCATTCACGTTCTGAAAGGAGAGGACAAAGAGAAACTGAAAAAGTATTCAAATAAGTAATGGATAAAAAAATCCCAAATCTAGCCAAAGACATAAACTTTTAGAATCCAAAAGGTGAGAGAACCACCAATAGTTAAATTTAAAATCTATGTCTAAACATGTCATAGTAAAATTTATGAAAACCAGAGATAAGAAAATCTTGAAGAAACAAGAAACAAACACTAATGTGGGGAGATTGTCTGCTGACGGGAGATTTCTCATTGAAATCATGGAAGCCAGAAGGGTTCCAGTAGTACAATATTTTTCAGCTATGGAAAGAAAGGCTGTCCCACAATTCTATATCCTATATATAGCAAAGACATTCTTAAGGAAAGAAGGGGAAACCAAGACATTCCCAGATTAAAAAAATAAAGAAAGAAAAGAATTTGTCACTGGCAGACCTACCCTAGGATAATGAATTAAGAAGTTTTCTAGCAAGAAAGGAAATGATAAAAGACAGAATCTTAGGAGATCAGGAAAGCAGAAAAAGCAGGGTGGAACAAAATTAGGGATAAAACAGGGAAAGATGGAGAAGTCACAGTGAAAGTAATGGGTTTCTTTTGAGGTGAAGAAAATTCTTAAAATTAATTTGGATGATGGTTGCATAAATCCGTAGATATACTAAGAGTCACTGAATTAAATAATTTGAATGGTGAATAGAACATGAGTTATTTCTCAGTAAATCTCTTTTCAAAACTCAGCTGATGAAATTGCAGTTTGCCTATGAAGGGGGCACAAAACAACTTTCTGGACATGCTGGGAAAGTTCTATGTCTTGATCTAGATGATGGTAACACAGCTGCATGTTTACATTAATCAAAATGAAAATCAACTCAAACAAATTGGAAATCCATATGTAGTAAAATAAAATTTAATCCCTATCTTCACCCGGCACAAAACTCAACTCAAAGTGGATCAAGACCTAGGTATTAAACCAGAACTACTAGAAGAAAATGTGGGCCCAACACTCCAACATGTCATCTTAGGAATCAACTTCCTTAATAAGACTCCTAAAGCACAAGAAGTAAAATAAAAAATCAATAAATGTGTTGGTATCACATGAAAAAGTTTCTTTAAAAATTTTATTTATTTATTTATTTATTTATTTATATTGATATACAACAGTGGAATGCATTACAATTTTATTACACATATAGAGCTCAATTTTTCTGGTTGTATACATAGTGTACTCACACCAATTCGTGTCTTCATACATGTTCTTTGGATAATAATGAGCATCACATCCAACCATCATTAATTATCCCATGCTCCTTCCCTTCCCTTCCTAACCCTCTGCCCAATCTAGAGTTCTTATATTCTTCCCATGCTCCCTCTCCTTATCCCACTATGAATCAGCTTCCTTATATCAAAGAAAACATTCAACATTTGGGGATTGGCTAACTTCACTTAGCATTATCTTCTGTAACTCCATCTATTTACCTTCAAATGCCTGGAATAAGACAGGGATGTCCTCCTTCACCACTTCTAATTAACATAGTTCTTTAAATACTGGCCAGAGCCATTAGACAGATGAAAGAAATTAAAGTGATACATACAGGAAAAGAAGAACTCAAATTGGTACTATTTGCTGATGATATGATTCTATATCTGGAACACCCTAAAAGTTCCACCAGAAAACTTTTAGAACTAGTAAATGAATTCAGCAAAATAGCAGAATATAAAATCAACACTAATATATCAAAGGCATTTCTGTATATCAGTGACAAATCCTCAGAAAGGGAAGTGAGGAAAACTACCCCATTCTCAATAGCCTCAAACAAACAAACAAAGAAAAAAACGTGGGAATCAACTTAATGAAAGAGGTGAAAGATCTAAATAATGAAAATTAAAGAACACTAACAAAAAAGTTTTCTTTACAGCAAAAGAAACAACCAAGAGTGTGAAGAGAGAGCCTACAGAATGGGAGAAAAATCTTTGCCACCCGCACCTCACATAAGGATCTACAAAGAACTAAAAAATCTTAACACCAAAACCAAAACCAAAAACATCCAAATAACACAATCAGTAAGTGGGCAAAGGAACTAAAAAGACACTTCTTAAAAGAAGAAATATGAATACTTAAAAAATATATGAAAAATGTTCAATGTCTGTAAATCAAATAGAAAATAAATGTCAAAATACACTTTGAAATTAAAAAAACAAACAAACAAGCAAATACTACACTGAGATTTCACATCACTCCAACCAGAATGATAATTATGTACCAAGAGTCCTCAAAAAAACTAGGAATGAAACCACTATTTGATCTAGTTAGTTCACTATTCAATTTTTAACCAAAGGTGTTAAAATTGGCCTACTAAAGTGACTAAGTTACATCAATGTTTATAGCAGCACATTTCACTATATTTAAGCTATGGAAACAACCTCGATGCCCATTAGAATATGAATAGATAAAGAAATTGTGGTATATATACACAATGGAATGTTAATCAGCCATAAAGAAGAATTACTTTATGACATTTGCCAGTAAATTAATGGATCTGGAGACTATCATGCTAAATGAAATAAGCCAATCCCAAAAAACCTAAGGTTGAATGTTCTCTCTGATATGTGGATGCTAACCCACAATAGTAGGATGGGGAAGAAAGAAGTTCATTGCATTAGACAAAGGGGAATGAAGTGAAGGGAGAAAGAGATGGGAATAGGAAAGACACTGGAATGAATCTGATGCAACTTTCCTATTTACATATATGGACATACCATAGTGAATCTCATCTTCCTATACATGCACAAGACCGGGATCCTAATTAGAATAAAATATATTCCATGCTTGTCTAAATATATCAAAGTGGATTCTACTGTCGTGTGTAACTAAAAAGAACACATAAAAATAAAAAATCAAACATTTACAATATATGGACTTATGACAATTGTGCCTTGATAAAACATGTCAGCATAAGAAAAGTACTACATAATCTCAAATTCCTTTCCAAAGTGCTTTTAACAATGTATACAGACACAAATAGTGTTTAAAACTTCAGGTGTTCTACACCTTACCAGCTTCAAAAAAAATTTAAGAGTTGAGTCTTGTCTTCTCTATTGTTATGGTGTACTTCCATGGTATCTCTTTATAGAGAACATGAAAAGGTGAGGATTTTATCTTTAATACTTCAGATGCTTTTATATTGTGTCAGATTAGTCATAATCAAGTGAAAATAGGCATCTTCTTTTTCATATTAATGCTGTCATAGTGGAAAGCATTTTTACTATTAAAAGTGTGTTCTTTACCATATTTGTTTCCATTCATGTAAATAATATTTCACTGTAAAAGTCTGCAGGTGATGAGAATTTTGTTTCATTTTTGGTTTTACATATTGCTTTTTAAAAAACTTGACTCTTGAGAATTACAAATATGTAATCAGAGAGATTTAGAATGAGGACGATTCCCATTGTCTTTCACTTTATTTCGAGGAGTATCTGGTGTCTAGGAATTGTCATCTTCTATGACTATAGCCTCTGCTGTCTTGCCATTAAGCAGATATCAAGCTGTGGGTGCAATGAGACCTGAAAGAATTCTAGGCCATATTTAAATAGTAGTAATTCCTTTGCTTGAACATATTTGAACATCTTTGAATGAGGAGTCTATCTATTAATAATATGCATTTATTTACTGAATTATAAATTTTTTTGTTCTCTAGCTGTTTTGATAATTGAGAGTAAACTATGGAAACATGAATGTAGCATATGCTTAAAACCTGATCTTATAAAACATTGAAATCTCAATAATTAACACTTACCTCTATTTCTTTTGTTAATTTTTCATGTCTCCTTTTTTCTTCCTCAAGAAAACAAGTTTTTTCAATGATAGATTCTTTTACAGTTATAATTTCATTCTTTAGCTTTGAAATGTCTTCCTGTATAGTTATTAAATTTAAAATATACAAGTCAGAAAGGCAAGGTTCATATAAACCTGCAACACTCAATGTGGCCATATTTTAAGAAAAGTAGATAAATTAAATTTTAATTTTGATACATAGGATTAGATTATGACTTCTATAGGTATACTGGATAAATAACTATTATTCAAACAAAGCTACCTTACTTTGAAAACTCAGAAGTAAAAACAAATTAAGACAAAGGAAAGTGATATTTATCGTGGCATTTGCCTGACAACAATGCAAAGGATACTTAATTTCAATAGCAAAAACAATGGTATTTTAAGTTTGTACTTATTATTGACTTCAAAGAATAGTAAGAGAAATACAAAGATGTTTAAAGTGCAATTCTTAATTCAGACTCTTTCCATAACAGCATACTAAATTGGTTGGAATTGGTCTGGATGCATTGGCATAGAAGCTAGAGCCTCAACCTTTCTCTGAATTTATACTTTCTGCAACACATGGATTAATTGTTCACTGTGATTTTGTTTAACTATATATTTTTAGAAATCCACAATGTATTTGTAAATACTTCCTTTATGCATTTGCACATTTGAGGTAGTTGTTATCTAAATTTATGTACTTATCCAAGTTCTTAAAAATTGTGAAAATAGTTTCTGAATGTAATAAAATAGCATTTTATTAACTTAATGATGAATGTACTATTTAATACATACTAGAATGAAAGAAAAAGTTTTGATAAGTAACAATTCAAACCTGTACTTGTGTCATTTGGTTCCCTCCTGGATTTTGGAGATCTTGTATAAGTTCCTCTTTCATTGTCTTTAGTTTTTTTACTAGATCTCGTTTTTCACAGAGTTCAATCATAAATGGCCATTGGCTTTCTATCTCCCCCAAACTGTCTTTATGTGCTTTTATTTTTGCATAGTAAGTCTTATATTTTATCATGCGTTCCTCAAAATCTTCTTGGGCCATTTCGATATCAAACTTAAGCTTCACATTCTCTGTATATAAGGACTTGATTTGAGATTCCAGACTTCCACACTGAAGTCTGGAATTCTCTATGGCAGCATCCTTCTGATAAATTTGCCTCTCTGTTTCTTTAGTTTCTGCAGAGATGGCTGCTATTTGCTTTTCAAGCTCATGAAGTTCATTCTGTAATATATTTCAACATTATCATTATTAATTCATGGTACTCAGCATGAGAGGAAAATTGTTTTGATCCATAATGCATATAGGAAAATCACTTAACATAAATATATATATTAATCAGATACAGTAAAGAACTGATGCATAATAGAAGGAAATATGCAATAATGTAACAATTACTTTCTCAGAAAGATCCCAGACTTATATATTTCTTGCTTTTTATTGGTCATCTAATTCTAAATGTTAAATTTCATCATTTTGTTTTAATATTTTATGTATAAAAATATTAAAACCATTTAATAATATATTTTAATAATATATTTATGGGTATCAAGGAAGACAATATAATAAAATAATAAAACACTGACTCAAGAATAAAAGACCTGCTGGGATCATGGTCAGTGGTAGAGCACTTGCCTTCCATGTGGGAGGCACTGGGTTCAATTCTCAGCACTGCATATAAATAAATGAATAAAATAAAGGTCCATCAACACTAAAAATAAATAAATAAATAAAAGACCTAGACCTAGGTTCCAGCAATCCTTACTGCTGTTCACTACTTTGTGTGATCATGCATAACAAATTTAATTACCCATCCCATCTCGCTTTCTTCATTTGTAAAATGAGTATTAAGATATCTAAAATATCTACTTTACCTCTCTAGGGCATTGGGCATGGCTAACTGGTGCCTCCTTAAAAGGAGTTTTCCTAGCACCACTCTTCCTCATTCTCCTTAGCTATCTCTGAGCATTCCTTCTTAATCTCAGTGATTTCTTCTAACACAGGTCTTCCTCAGAGTTCAGTTAATTCATCATTCCTTCTTCTCCCTCTCTACATACATAACCCTTGGGTTACCTTGCCCATACTTATAATTTTCAGCTATGCATCTACTGATGATATGGAGAATAAAAGTGACTTTTTAATTCCATAGCCAGATGCCCTTGGCCATGGCAAACTCATGTCCCCAAAAGACTAATTTTTCCTCCCTTCCTAGCCTATTTCCCCTTGTATCAATTAACTATTGCTAGAACCACAAAACCTCAGTGACACAACAATAAATACGTGTTCATTACTGACATGACTGGGAAAAGAAGGGCTTGGCTAGGTGATGCATATGACTGGGAGAAGTGGGGATTGGCTAGCTTGGCTAGGTGTTTCTAATCACATCTCAAACACCTGTGTGTGTGTGTGTGTGTGTGTGTGTGTGTGTGTGTGTGTGTGTGTGTGTGTGTGTGTGTACCTGAGGATCAAATCCAGGGCCTTGCATTCTAAGCAAGTGCTCACTGGAGTCACATCCCTGCCCTGGGGTGGCTTATTTTCAAAATTGCTTTTAGGCAGAAATTTTAAGTCCCCTTACTCAGGAAACATATTCATTTAGTTTCTTCTCTTGGCATTTTTTAAAAAGGAAAATATGAAATTAACCACAGAGTTTTGTATCCAGTTTCCCAAGTAAAACTAAGAAATGAGAAGGAATGGTATGGGTGAGTGCCCTCATCAGTTGCCATTGTTATTCCCTTTGTATGATAATGAAACTGAGGTTCTGAGATGTTGAATAACAAAGATAATTCATCATTTCACCAGTAAGTGTCAAACACTGGTTTTGAATTTTGAACTCTAGTCAGGCAGTCTGTAATTTTTTTTGTTTCTCTCCTACATTACTATAGAGATACTATGTACTATGTCTTTTAAACATACATATACATCTGAAATTTAAGTATTTATGTATTTACCAAAGAAAAAAATGTCTGTGGTTTGGGTGGTTGTAAGACAATTTAGGTTGGCTTTGAACTGAGCTGGCAGGGGTGTCTTGCTTCTAATTTATGTGTCTCCTGTCCTCCAGTGGATCAGCCCAGGCATGTCCTTCTCAAGATGATAGCAGATACAGAAAAGCCAAAGCTCAACTATTTAAGAGCTTTTAAAAAGCTTTTGCTGGAATCATATCTGCTAATGCCCCAGCCAGTCACATGATCAAACTCAAGAGTCAAGGAGTGGAAGTATATCTACCCATGATGTGAGAACATTATAATGATATGGGAAAGGGTGTCAATATAGAAAGGGATGAAAAATTGGGAACAAAAATGCAACTTAACATAACTCTATATTCCCCAAAGTACTTAACAGTATGACTTTAAAAAAAAACTATACATTAAATTCTATAAATCCTCCCACCAAAATAATTGCTAGCTATCTCCATTCCTTTTTTCTACCTAGATGGTCATTCTCTTTAAATAAAGTTTTAATGTTTGGAGGAAGGTATTGTATTAAAAAGACAAAGGCCTTCAATCCTTTTTCTGACAGAGACCAAAAAGATAAGTACATTGAAAAGTACAATATGCTAGTGAAACTCAATTTTTGTCTTCAGTGCTAATATTTCAAATGCCCACTTGACATTTCTGTTTGGGTGTCTAACAGACACCTCAGTTAGATATATTCAGAAAATATTTAAGTTGCACACTGTGTTTGCCTTTCATTGCTGTGACCAAAATACCCAACAGGAACAATGAAGAGGAGGAAAAGTTTATATTGGCTCATAGTCTCCAGAGGTCCAGTCCATTCCTCTGGGCCCAACTGAGGCAGCACAACATAGTTGAAGGGAGTGGTGGAAGACATGGAGGCAAGGAAGTAGACAGAGGAAAGTAGGAAGGAAGTCACAGGGAAGATGAACCCTTCCAAGGCACTTCCCCAGTGACCTACCTCCTTCAGCCAAACCCCAGCTGCCTACAGTTACCATCCAGTCCATTCACACTAGGATGGACCGATTAGAAGGTTAAAGGTCTCACAATCCAATCATTGCACCTCAGAACATTCCTGCACTAACACAGGAGCTTTTAGGGGACACCTTATGTACAAACCACACCACACACCAAACATATTCCTCCTTACTTCTTCTGATTCCAACAAACTACACCATTTTCCACCTGGATAATCCAAAGCCATAAAGTTATTCCTAATTTTTCCATTTCCCTTATCCCACATCCTACTTCCCACCAAAATGTGAGAATTGGTTCTCTAACATAAATCTCTACATTTACTTCTGACCAATCTTTGTGGTGTGGCCTAATTTCTAATCATCTTCCTATTTTCATTCTTGTCCTTCTCTTAGGCTCCATTTATCAGGAAGAAGGATCTTTGAAAGACATTTATCATGTCATGCTACTTCCCTGCTCAAGATTCTTCAGTGGTGTCCCATTGCATTAATAATAAAATTCAAACTCACCAAAGTGGCTTATACGGCTTTATATGCTCTAGTATCTATCGACTTTGCTATCTTTCTCATCTACAATTCTCCCTTCTTCTAGCCTCCTTTCTGTTTATTAAATAGGCCTAATTCCTTCCCAGGAGCATTTGTAATTGTTTATTTTTCCGTCTACCTTATATTCTCAACCCTGGGCTGGAAATACAGCTCAGTGGTAGAGCACTTGCCTGGCAATCATGAGACCCTGGGTTCAATCTCCATCATGACATTAAAAAAAAAATTCTCTAACACTACTGGGTCTTGTCACAATTCAGCTTTATTACTATTCCTCCAAATAGGCTTCTCAGATTCAAAATATAATTTAACCCCCTTTCCCCTCCTTTACTCTCTATACATTGCCCTCCTTTATATTTTTTGGAACCCATCAGTGTCTAAAATTATCCATTATTTTATTATTTTTAAAGAAAACTTCTTTAATTTTTGCCTCCCCTAACTGTAAAGTAACTCTATGGCTGCAGGAATCTTTTCTGTCCTTATCACCATGTTCCCAATGCTTACCATGGTCCTAGCACAAAGTAAGCACTCAGTGTTTATTAAGTGAGTGATGCACATGGTCAGGAAAGAGACAAGTGTTCTGTCAGTTACATTAGGATATCAACTCTATTTATTAATACAGGGAGAGGAGATGAACACTACTTTGGTTATCATCTCCTCTCTTTTCTGATTGAATGTAACAGGCTGTTAAATTTTATTACTAGCTTTAATATCTTTTTCCTTCAATACATTTCCAACTTTAAATTACTACCACTACTCCTTCCTCTTCTTCTTCCTCTTAATCAGCCTCTTGTTTTTCATCCTCCTCCTCCTCCTCTTTTATCTTTCTCTTCTCTCTTTTCTTAGTCTTGTATGCTCCTTTGCTCTAGCTTTATGAGGCAAAGTAGAATGAAACTAAACATACTGAAGCTGCAATGTGATGAGTTTTAATATTATTATGTTCATAAAGTCATCACAACAATTAAGATAATAAACATATCCATTACCCCAAACATTTTCTCCCCTTTTCCTTCCTACCTATCTTCCTTTCTTCCTAGGAATTTTCCTTCCAAGGAATTTTCCTGGCATGAAGATATTCAAGTGTTCTTCTACTATCTAATTTTTTAAAAACTTGGGGTTTTTTGTTTTTTGTTTTGTTTTGAAATGAGGTAACTCTCAATGGACTTCTGGAGAGCTTCAGAATGGGGACTGGCTATCAGAAAGGCCAAGACTTGATTAAAGTCCTTATCTACACTGCCCCCACCTCTTGGGAGAGGAGAGGCTAGGAGTTGAGCTAATAATTACTCAACTTACATGATGCAACCTCCATAAAAAAATTTTAATGATGAATTTTGGAGACCTTCCAGGTTGGTGAACACATCCAGGTTCTGGGAAGGTGGTGTGCTCCATATGGCAGCTCTATGCAAGTCCCTTCCCAGCACCTTGTCCTATGCATCTTCTCTGTTTGGCTGTTCCTGAATTGTATCTTTTATAATAAACTAGTAATAGTAAGTAAAGTGCTTTCCTGAGTTCTGTGATTCACTCTAGCAAATTATTAAGCCTTGAGTATGGATGGGGGTAGACATGAGAAACCCTCATTGTGGTCTGAATCTGATATTTTCCCTGATGTCTCATTTCTTGAAGGCTTGGTCCTCAGTACAGCAAGGTTCAAAGGTGGCTTTTTGGAAAATTATTGATCATAAGGGCTCTGATGTCATCGGGGGAATAACCCACAGACAGCTTCATGGACTACTGGGAGGTGGCAGGAACTAAAGGAAAATAAGGCATTTGGAAGGATATAGATCACTGGGGCATGCTCTGGGGACTATCTGTCCTAGGCGCCTACTTTTCTCTGTGCTTTCTGACTGCCATGGGATAAGTACCTTTCCTCTGCCACACTTTCTTCCATGACATTCCTGCCTTGGAACCAGCTGACCATGGGCTGAACCCTCTAAAACCATGAGCCAAAACAAAGCTTTCCTATTCTAAGTTATTTTTCTCAAGTATTTATGATAGTGATAAAAAAATGAACTAAAATACCCCTGATTTATAGTCAGTTGGTCAGAAGTATGAGTGTATGAGTGGTCTGGGAATTATCATTGACATTGAAAATGGGGAAGCCTTGTGGGGATGATTCCTTTAACTTGTGAGATCTGATGCTAACCTCAAATAATATCAGAATTTAATTGAACTATTCAATATGAAGTTGGCATTGCGAGAATCAGAAAATTGTTTGTTGGCGTTGGAAAATATCCAAAGTAGTATAAGACTTCCAACATTGTTCTTCAAAATTATTTTAGCTGTTCTAGGTCCTCTTTTGTATTTCCATACAACTTGTAGAAATCAGTCTGTCAATTACTCAAAAAGTGTTGAGAGCCACAGGAAAAGGGGCTCCAGCAAACTTCCAGCTGCCAGCTGATGATTGGCTCACAGCAGCCCTGGCAAACTTCCAGCTGCCAGCTGATTGGCTCCTCTGCAGTGATGCTCATTGGGCTGTTTCCCCGCCCTTTCAGACCACATAGCTGCTCATTGGGGGACTCTTTTGGCTCCACCCAATCGGCCTCAAGAGCAGGGGGTTGAGAGGCTTGTGGGAAGCCAGTGGTGGCAGTTGGGCTCTGAGGGAATTCCTGAAGAGCTCATGTGGTGCAGCCTGTGTGTTCTAAAAATAAAGTTCATTTCTGCTTGATAAGTGGCTTGTGAATTGTGCCCAGCCAGACTGCGGCAAAAAGGAAGCAAACAACAACAACAACAAAACCTTCTGGGATTTTTACTAGTACTACTTTTAATCTATAAGTAAACCTGGGAGAACTGACATCATAACACAGTGGTTTCTGATTTTCAACATACTGTCTCAATTTATTGTTGTTTAATTTTTCTCATCATTTTGCATTTTCAACATATAGATTTGAGGGCTGGGGATTTGGCCCAAGCGGTAGCGCGCTCGCCTGGCATGCGTGCGGCCCGGGTTCGATCCTCAGCACCACATACAAACAAAGATGTTGTGTCTGTCGAAAACTAAAAAAATAAATATTAAAATTCTCTCTCTCTCTCTCTCTTTAAAAAAATATAGAGAGAGATTTGATAAACCTTATGTCAAAATGATCCCTAAGTATCGCATAGTTTTGGTACTATTGTAAGTGGAATTGCTTCAAAATTTTTAATTTCTGAAAATTACAGAATTCTATATATTTCTGCCAATATATAGAAATACAGTGGTTTGTTTTGTATATCAATGTTCATTTTTGTATATCAATCTTTTATCCTACAACTTAATTTTTAGTACTAAGAGCTTTCTTGTAGATTATTTGGGATTTTCTAAAAATAATCATGCTATCTGTGAATAGAAAGTTTCATTCTTCCTTTTTCATCTGGATACCTTTTGTTTCTTTTTCTTACATGTTTGTACTGGCTCCAACTCCCAGTAACTTCCTGAATAGAAAAAAAGGCAGATATCCTTGCATTCCTACTCATGTGAAGAAAAAAATATTTGGTTCTTTCTGTGGGGTGGCAAAGGGATGGGGTGAGGCGGGCGCGGTGGCTGGGGTACCAGGGTGACAGGTAGGCATTAGCAGAGGTGGTGGTGAGGCTCAGGGCAGGCCAGCGAGGCAGAGAAGAAGAAGTGGTGGTGTAGGATGGTGGCGATGACTTATGAGCGGCTGAAGCTGCATATTATACCTGAAAAATTTTATGTGGAAGCTTGTGATGATGAAGCAGATGACATACTTACCACTGACCATGTGTCCACAGAGGTCACCCTTATAGCCAAGAAAGATGTTTCTCCTTCAGCTGTCATAAGACCAATATTTCGTATACTGGGCACAATCCATCTGGTGGCAGGTAATTATCTTATCATCATTACCCAAAATACAAAAATAGGTGAATTTTTTAATCATGTAATCTGGAAAGCATGATATCCTTTCTTATAAGAAGATAATGTTGCACTTAACTGATATTTAGTTACAAGATAATAAAACTTTCGTTTTGATGCTAAACCATGTCTTGAGTGTGGATGGGTTTTACTTATCAACAACATATGATTTGACCCATACTTTGCAGCAGTTGTCCAACACTAGTACAGAATTGCAAGAAATGAGTCTCTTGGAACGGGCAGATCAGCGATTTGTATGGAATGGTCATCTTCTAAGAGAACTGTCTGCTTAGCCTGAGGTTCATCGTTTTGCTCTTCCAGTGTCACATGGTTTTTATTACTATACACTCATGTTCTATCAATGGAAAATACTTCAATTGGATTCTCATTTCCAGGAGGAGTTGTTTCAGAGCTGGCGTGGATTATTATGTAAGAGGAATTGATTCTGAAGGCCATGCAGCTAACTTTGTAGAAACAGAACAAATTGTGCACTATAATGGGTGCAAGGCTTCATTTGTACAGACTCGAGGATCAATCCCTGTCTTCCGGTCCCAAAGACCAAACCTCAAGTATAATCCATGACCCCAGATCAACAAAGAAGCAAATTATATGGATGGTTTCCAAAGCATTTTGATTCACAAGTAATTATTTATGGAAAACAAGTCATAATCAATCTGGTAAACCAGAAGGGCTCAGAGAAACCACTTGAACAAACATATGCAAGAATGGTGTCTTCCTTGGGAAGTGGAATGATCAGATACATTGCCTTTGACTTCCATAAGGTATGTAAAAATATGAGATGGGATCAACTAAGTATTTTATTGGATCAGGTATCAGAAATTCAAGATGAATTAAGTTATTTTCTAGTAGACTCTGCCGGCAAAGTGGTGACAAACCAGGAAGATGTGTTCCCCAGCAATTGTATGGATTGTCTAGGATAGAACCAATGTGATCCTGAGTTTGTTAGCTCATCGGTCTCTTCAGGCCCAGCTTCAGAGACCAGGTGCTTTGTATGTGGGACAAAAGCTTGAAGAACAAGAGGAATTTCAGAAGATCTATAAAAATGTCTGGGCTGACAAAGCAAATGCTTGTGCCAAACAATATGCTGGAACCAGTACCTTGAAGACTGGCTTTACCAGAACTGAGAAGAGAACTCAGTTAGTTCTCATAAGGAATGGTTGGAACTCACTCAAATGATATTACAAGATCAACTTTTCTGATGGACTTAGACAGGATTCCATAGACTTATTTCTTGGGAACTATTTAGTGGATGAATTAGAATCTCATAGTCCTTTAAGTGTTCCAAGGGACTGGAAATTCCAGGCTTTGCCTATTATTATGGTTGTTGTCTTTTCAATGTGTATTATCTGTTTGCTTATGGCTGGTGACACTTGGACAGAAACACTGGCTTATGTACTTTTCTGGGGAGCTGCAAGCATTGGAACATTTTTTATTATTTTTTACAATGGCAAAGATTTTGTTGATACTCCTAGATTGGTCCAGAAAGAAAAGATAGACTGAATCTGTGTTTGTGGAAAGTGGCTTGGCTTGGAAGATTCCATGATGCAGAACTGGAGTCTTTACTACAGTTAGTCACTGTCTTTTTAAAGCCTTTATCCAAAAGCACCTCTTGTGCTTTGTGTGGAGTAATGACTTAAAATTGATCTGATGTTACTGCCTTCATGATCTCTTTACTGTTAGGATGGTTATATTTATAATTTGAAGCTATATAATAATTGAAAAATAACTCGAATTCAGCTCACAGAAAAGGAATATACTCATTGTTAAGTTAATCAGCTGTTGCAGATGAGTAATATATTTTTTTTAATTAGCTTCTTTCATTATTTAAAACAGTACAATTATTTTTCTAGCTATTTCGTTATTGTCATTGTAGATGCAGTCACCGTTAGCAAGCATGTTTTTCCACACCTTTGGACTTTTCTTCAAATTTTAATAATGAGCTAACTCTACTATGTCTATAAAATGTAAGTCTCTTACTTACATCAGATGGCTTGATGAAATAGTCTGTGACTTCACGGGAAGGAGGAAGAGAATGGGGGTCTGGATTCTTCAGTTTCTGGTGGACTGCCTCCACTTCAGTCAGCTTGAGCTGCTGCAGTGCACCAGTAGTTTACATGTGATGAAGGGTCAAGACAGACTTCTGTCTTTTTACCAAGTGTGCATGGAATCAAAGAATGGAAAGTCTCTCTCTTATGCTAAAGGTCCAAAGCCTCTACTTTTTAAGGATTGCCCCGTTGTGGGAAATACCCTTGACTGGCTGGCCAGCTGCTTCCTCTTGTACATTTTGGTTTCTTTGGGGGTTATTCCTTGAGACCCAGAGGCCTCTCTAGATCTGATATTGCAGTTAGGGCAACAGCTGCTTTTCCACGCATGTTACTATTGCTTTTCCCTTTGTCACGTTTTTTGTTGTTGTTGTTGTTGACTATCAATAACTGTGTCTAAAATTTAGTGCTTCCAGGTAGTTATAGTTCTCCAAATCAAGGACCAACTTCAACTTCAATTCATGTGCAAAAACAAACCTGAAAAATATGCTTCAGAAGCTGTGCATAGTTGAAATTGTAAGTCAGATTGTATATTCAAATTGTAATTATGAGGTTTCAATAATAGTACAGTATGTAAGGTAGTGTAGCTACTACTATTTTAAAACAATTTGATTAAACACTGCTACTATATTTCAGTGTTTTGCTTGAAAATGTGTACAGGTTTTTTCCCAATAGTAGTACCTTATGTTGTCCTTAAATGTTTCTTAAAGCGCCTTCATTTTAACATTATCTTTTCCAATATAATCTTTTACAAACATTAATAAGAATTGTTGCTTTTAGAAGCTCTGAAAGAAGTAATAGTTTGGAAAACCCGGTGTAGCTTAAAATCAGTCATTAAAATTCACAGTAGGGTAAGTAGATAGAGCCACCTATTCTTAACATGTAAATAAGCATAATTTGTTCCAAAGATGGAATATTGACACATAGCTCATGTCTACTGTAATATATTATCCAAATGCTACTGGGCATTTCACGGTAATGATGTGAAAACTACTGCATCAAAGACCAAGTGTGAATCCCTAATGTGGCTGCTTGCAGGGAATGGACTTATTGGTATGTTAGGTCATAAGCTATCAATATTTCAGAACCCTGTAATGATTTTATTTCTTAATTTGTGTACTGTACATCCATAAGTAAAAATAAAATGTCATATACTTTTCTAAAAAAAAAAAAAAATTCAGTCTTCCAACCTTAGGTATATGGTTGACTTTAGGATTTTTTTTTTTTAAGATGGACAAAGTTCCCTTCTAATCCTAATTTTCTGAGACATTTTTGTCATGAATGGATGTTGAATTATAACAAGCACTTTATATATATTTTTTAAAAGAATTCTCTCTATAAAAAAGCAATTTTTAATTTGCTTCTTGTTTAAAAACCAAAGGTTTCTCATCACTGTTAGAATAAAGTCCAAATTTTTTATCATGGTATATAACTTCCACCTCTTCTCAAAACATACTCTATACTATACCATTATCAAACTACTTAGGGTTCTATGAATGTACAATGCTATTTCAGGCTTCTGTGAATTTCTCAGATTCTGTTAATCTGGAATATCATCCTCCTTATCCCGGTTCCCTTAATCTTATACCTGGCCAAGATACCCAATCAATCAGTGAATTCCAACTGTCTTTTAAAACCCAACATTGAATTCCAACTGTCTTTTAAAATCCATCATTGAAACATCACTTCTTTTGCAATCACTCATTCTTCAATGTTAAATATGTTGGGCTCCTACCTCTATTGTTGATGCTACCACCATGAGTGCAATTATTTGTTTACTTGGACTCCTTCCCAAATGAATCATGAGCAATGCAAGGGTAAGGACAATGTTGAGAAAAATGCTTAGCAAAATGCTCGATAGAAAGTGGGCCCTAGTTTAGCTATTGTGAATTGTGCTACTATAAACATTGAGGTGGCTGTGTCCCTGTAATATGCTGTTTTTAAGTCTTTTGGGAATAACCAAGGAGAGGGATAGCTGGATCAAATGGTGGTTCCATTCCCAATTTTCCAAGAAATTTCCATACTGTTTTCCATATTGGCTATATCAATTTGCAGCCCCACCAGCAGTATATAAGTATACCTTTTTCCCTACATCCTTGACAACACTTATTGTTGTTTGTCTCATAATAGCTGCCATTCTAACTGGAGTGAGATGATATCTTAGAGTAGTTTGGATTTGAATTTCTCTAATTGCTAGCAATGATGAACATTTTTTCATATATTTGTTGACTGATTGTATAGTGTAATTAAAATTGATTCCCAATATGAAGTTCTTTTAAAAATTTTGTCACTATTAAATTGTGAAGACATTTAAAAGATTATATGAAATAAGTTACCTGTAAATGAAACAGAACTTTCTTGTTTCTTTCTATTTCTGATGTTTGTGATTGTTGTTGTTTTGCAACTTGTTTTACAACTTCAGTTAATGATGATGTATCTTCTTTACCCACAGCTAGACAAAAGAATAAAGTTCATGACAAAAACTAAAAACAGATATTTTAAGACACTTATGTTTCTATACTGGAACATGAAAAATTAGGTGTTTTCTATGATTTAAAAGAAAAGTACATTTTGGATTGGTAATCTTCCCTGATTCTAGACAAAATCAAAATCAAAGGCAATAATAGTAGGCAATTCAGGCAACTCAAAGCTGTCTTCTGCAATGCCATAACTGTTCTTTTCTGGAAGAGTATAAATATTTTGACTGACCTCATTTTTTTTTTAATCTGGACCACTTGCACTTATACTATAGCGTCACCACAACAACTCAATAGCAATTATAGTTGATGGATTTTTCAACATAGGCCTGTATTTTCAGGTTGTTATGGCTTTTCTAAACACTGAGTACATTCCTTCCTGGTGAAATATAACTGCCTCCTTCTACTTTAATTTATTATTCCTTCTAACATAATTATCTTTTGGTACTATTTTTTGTTAATGTTCTTTTAATTTTTTATTTCTTAAGATTGATTCATTACCATCTTTAGGAACTTCTTCACTCTTCCTTTCCTTGTTGCCTGACATTATCATTGTCTGTAATCTCCTCTTTTCCACAGTCTGGCTTACCTTCTTTATGCCTACAAAAACATCTATATTGTTATAAATTGTCAAACATGTCACAGGAATGCAATGACATTTCACCACTGGTACCAGTAATTAAAAGGCAATGAATAAGGGGGAGATTTTGGAAGAAAAGTTGAACTGTATTTGAATCTTGGTTCTTCTGCTTTTTAGCTATTATGACCTTGAGTAAGTTTCTTCTTTGATTCACTGTATCCTCAGTCTACACCCTCATAGGGCTGTTGTAATAATTCTAACAACCACACACACAATTGGTGAGAATCAGTTCTAAGAATGCTTTGGCAATCTCTACCACAAATATAGGATGTAGGGAAATAGCACTCTTGCCCAGTGTTATTTTGGTCAGAGTAAGACCCAAGTAGGTTGAAAATCATGTGCCAGTGTACTTGATTTAGGAGTAACTGATAAGATGAAGGAATACATATTTTTCTCCATTGAAAGATGAAGATAAAGTTGTTCCAACATAACAATGCTGAGTTGGCAGAAGTAAGGGCATTATCGGCTTTAGGAAAAAAGGTCTCCAAATCTGCCTGTCCATTCCTATGCAGAGAAAATGGTTCAAGGTTTTATGATATGTAAATGGAATCCAATGTAAATATGTACTTTTGAAATTGGAAGTTGCCATCTCCCATTAAACGTAAGGATTTTTCTATTCAGATGACTGATCCTTTTTAAAAAATTCTTAATTGATTTATATAGAACCTGTGCATCTTCCCAAATTGTACTCAAGTGATTACAAGCTTTGTAAGAAAAAAAAAAGAAAGAAAGGAAGGAAGGAAGGAAGGAAGGAAGGAAGGAAGGAAGGAAGGAAGGAAGGAAGGAAGGAAGAAAAAATGTTATAAAGTAAGGCACATGCTAGGAAACGTTTAAAAACACTTAAATATGTTTCCTAAATATTATAAACAAAGTACTCATGTATTAGTCACACGTTTTAAAGGATTAAAATATAAACAAAAAGAGAAAAACAATGTTAAATTGATTCTACCTGAGGAGACTTAAGCCTATCCAGAATATCCTACCATGCAAAAGAGCCTGAGAGCTTAACTAGCAGATTGTTATAATCACCCCTGAGAATTTATGATTCTTTCCTGTCTCTTCAGGTCACTTCCTTCAAATCTCACCTCAAATGTACCACTTTCCTGAAGTCTTTCCTGATGCCGAGTCCATTTACTCTGTTCATGTCATTATTCTAAGTCCTTTCCTCCTAGCACACAGAACTGTCCCAGATCAGTGCTAACAGATTCAAATCTGATTTTTCTCTCGAGCTCTTTAGTTTGCCTTTCATGCTCACAGACAACATCCTTATTCTGCCCACCTAACATAAAATTGCATGCCTTTATACTTTCAGACAGTTCTCTCCATAAGTATTTATATTGTGCTTGCTTTATGCAGGACATTGTTATGAGTGGTTTAGATAAAACAACAACAACAATGACAATAAAATCTATATTGTTTAGTGTTTATGTGGTGCCTGGCAGTATGCTAAGAAGCTTACAGATACTAACTCATTTGACTATGAGGTAGATATTATTATAATTTTCATTTTATAGAAAAATACAGTGAAGCACGAATAGATCAAGAAAGTTAACCAAAGCCAGCTAGCTATTGAGACGTGATTTAAATTCAGGTATTTGGGCTCCAAAGTTTATGCTCTTAAACTACCAAGATTATATTTTAAGGGCAGAAGTATATCTTTATCCCTCCAGAATCAAATTAAAGTACACTTTTGTAGTCATTTTGTTGCTTTAATGGCCATTCTCCCCCCCCCACCCCATCACTGGAGATTGAACTTGCAGCCTCTGTGTCTACTAAGAACATAACTCCACCACTGAGCTACATCCCCATATATCCCCAGCCCACAACTTCCTTCTTTCTATTCCCTTTCCTACTATCACCTTTTATTCTTTGGGGAAATATTCAAGTAAAATACATTGATGGAGCAGCTCCTGGAGACTTACCCTGGCTTCAGTATCATAATCTGCATGACTGAAGAGGGAACCCTGTGAGTTCTGCAGGCTCCTCCTAAGTTCTTGCTAACTATGTTGCCTTCCTGCTGAGTCCCTTCTCTTTACTCCAAATCAGTGTCATTTCCATAATCAAAGACATTGTGATCACTGTTCCCATTATAGTCTATTTTCCAAGGGCTCATTCCTGGTCATGAAGACCCATCCATATTCACTTGGTAAGTCCCTGAATTTAATGTTGTGTTACCTACTCCTCAAACATTTTATAATCCTTCCATTGTGGTCTCTGAAAAATCCTATCTTTCACAATTTCAGTGAACTTTCCCTTCATCTTTTGCCTCTAACTGAAATCCAAAAATATCGCTTCTTCATCCTCAAATCACTACTAAATCCAGAGGTAAGGTGTTGTTCCTGTTCCCTGTCAGCACTACCAAACTAGTATCCTTCTCTTCTATTTAAAACCTCTGGTTCTTTGAGGTTCATGCCATCAGACTAAGCTTTACCTGTCCTTGTTATTAGTTGATCTTTAGTTCTCTCCTCCTCACTCCTAGATTATAACTTCTGTTTCTGCATCATTTTCCCCTTTACATTTCTCTGGAGTTTCCATATCCACACAGATGGTAAATCTAATACCCTGGCCTCTGAGTTCCTTGATGTCTTCTTTCATCCACTCTCCCCAGGCACCCACAGGAATAATAATACCTCATACACTATTTCAGTTTCAAACTATATTTTAATTTTCTGGCTCGTTCTATTCAGTATTTTGATTATAAGGGTTGTTCAATCACACCAAGACTTCCAATCCATTAACACTTCTACCTTTACGTGATCCTTCAGCCCTTCATATATTCTTACTTCTTTATCTGGCTTAGATTCCTTTGCATTCATCCCACTTCCCCTAGAGCTCTTTCCTTGACCTTCTTCTTGGAAAAATCAAACTTGTTGCTTCACTTATGCTCAAGTAGCTGAATATGTTTTATTTTAAAAACAAACAAACAAACAAACTTCCCACATATATTTTCCCTTTTCAGCTGATAACCTATCCTCTTATTTAATTGAGATAGTAGAAAATATCAGAGGTTACTAAATTATTCATCTACTAGTCTTTCTGAACCTGTATCCATATATTAATTTATCCTTTCTTACAATGAATAAAGCATCCTTGCTCATAACTAAGGTCAATAATCTGCTCTTGGACTTTCTCATTTTGTTAGACATTATTTCAATGTTTGCTCAACATAATTCACTCTTTATTTAGCTGTATGTGTCATCCTAAATAACTCTGATAAATCACCACCTACCAACACGACCACCCTTGCTTTGATTCTGTAACCCGTCAGCTACTCAATCATTTCTTGTTCCCATTTATAGGCAACAATTCATGCTGTTCAATTCCTTTCCCTTCATTCTTCTTCAACCAATGAAAACAAACAGTTGCCACTCTACTCTTAAAGCTCTTATCTGACCTCTATGTTGTCACATTCAATGGATAAGTTCTATCTCCCTTTTACTTGACCTGATGGCATCTTTTGACACATTTGAACTGAGCACCTTCTCTGAAAAACCACACTTGGTTTCTTTTGCCAATTCCTTCTCATCTTTCTCACTTGTTGGAATGTTCCAGGACTCAGTTCTCATCTACTTTTCTCATACACATATTACTGGTTATGCCACCCACATACAGTTTGAAAATCCATTTATAGACTAACAACTCCCAAATTTATATCTGTAGACTAAATGTCTTTCTTCAAGTACAGAGTCTTGAAATGGCCTACTTCATATCTCCACTTGGAATTTAAAAGGCATTTCAAATTAATATGTACCAAATTGAATTCTGGTTCCTTTTCCCACTCATTTACCACCACTAAAACTGCTCTTTCATAGTTTTTATTCATCTCAGTAAGTTACAAGTTCATTTTTCTTGTTGTTCAAGCCAAACCTCCAGATTAATTAGCAGAGAGGTCTCTAGAAAGGTAGATTCCCCAGGGCAATTCAACCAGACCTGCCCCAACAAGTCATAAAGGAGAGCTCATTGTTGTCACTTCATAGGCCCTTTGGGAAACATTTGAAGATCTCATAGGTAGGATGCTCAAGGATGTTGCCCCCAATAATTGTCTTATACTAGAGACAATCTAGTATCTTGATTCTTTTATTATCATGCATACTAAATGCAATTTTTTTCATTAATTGATTGTATTTTTAAAGTCTATTGGAATGTAATCTTTCCCCACCTACCCCCAAATAACTGTCTTAGCAGAGCTTTCCTGATAACACTCTTAAAAACATGACCTTACTCTTTCATCTTCTGTTTCCTTGCTTTGCTTAATAGCATTTACTATTACTGACATCTATTACCACTGACATCTTTTACATTTATATCTTTTCTGTATCCTTCAACTTATGTAAACTCCATGAGAGAAGAGCACTGCCTGGCCCAGAATAGGTGTCTAACTGTGGTCTATCTGTACTCCAACTTACGCTGTTCTGACAGAATATGGCTTTTACACAGTTTCTTGTAATGTCCACATCAAAACCAATCTTAAAACTCTACTTTGGGTGGCATTTAAAGAAACCTTTTCTTAATCTTTCTGGGAATATGTGATCTCTTTTAATATGATTGTTTCTCTGCCTCATATGATGATAGATAACATTATAGGTTCTAGAGTAAGACAAAGCTAGTTTTGATTCCAGGTTGTGCCACTTCATAGCTTATTAGGTAAATTATTTCTAACCTGAGCCTCAGATTCCTTATTTATACATGGGAACAATAGTACCTGCCTCATTAGTGTTACTACAAGGACAATGCATGAAATTAAATAATGCATATAAAGCCCTAAGCAAATTCCTAGCACATGGTGAGTATTCAACACATTTATTCTTATTAATTCCAATATTTTACACTATCTTTCCCCTTCGACTATAAACTGCAAAAGGGCAAATATAATGTGTTATTCATTTTTGTATTCCCTAGAATATTTGATGAAGTAACTTAAAGAATGAAGCCAGATTTATACAATGAAAATAATCATATAACTGATACTTCTTGACTATCTTTTTCTAAAGCAATGTAAGCTGAAGAACTCGTGCATGTCATTTATTTAAACCAACTAATCATGAAAGGATATCTGCTGTAAAATTGGGTGTGTGAGCTTTTTCTGTATCTCTACAATAGAATGGAAACAAATAAAAACAATCTACTGCCATCTACTGATAATTCATTGGAGTTGCATAAATCAATGGGAATTGAATTTCAGACCCAAAACTGAATGAGTTTTTTTTTTTAAGATTTTTTTTCACAATATCATTATTTTATTTATTTTTATGTGGTGCTGTAGATCGAACCCAGTGCTGCCATGTGCTAGGCAAGCGCTCTACCACTGAGCTTTTACAATCCCAACCTAGAACTTTCAACTTGGGAATCAATTTCACAAAAGAGGCAAAAGATCTATATACTGAAAATTACAGAACCCTAAAGAAAGAACTCAAAGAAAACCTTAGAAGATGAAAAGATCTACCTTGCTCTTGGATAGGCAGAATTTATATTATCAAAATGACCATACTACCAAAAGCACTATACAGATTTAATGCAATTCCTATCAAAATTCCAATGACATTCCCCATAGAAATAAAAAAAGCAGTCATGAAATTCTTCTGAAAAAATAAGAGACCCAGAATAGCTAGAACAATCCTTATCAGGAAGAGTGAAGCAGGTGGCATCACATCAAACTTTAAAATGTACTATATAGCTATAGTATCAAAAACAGCATGATATTGGCACCAAAAGAGAGTCGTAGACCAATGGTACAAAATAGAGGACACAGAGACTAACCCACAAAACTACAATTAGCTTATATTAGACAAAGGTGCCAAGAACATGTATCGAAGAAAAGATAGCCTCTTCAACAAATGGTGCTGGGAAAACTGGAAATCCATATGCAATAAAATGAAATTAAACCCCTATCTCTCACCATGCACAAATCTCAAATCAAAATGAATCAAGTACCTAGAAAAAAAACAGAGCCCCTGCATCTAATAGAAGAAAAAGTAGGCCCTAACCTCCATCATGTGGGATTAGGCCCCAACTTCCTGAATAAAACTCCTGTGACACAAGAATTAAAATCAAGTCTCAATAAGTGGGATGGATTGAAACTCAAAAGTTTCTTCTCAGAAAAAGAAACAACAATCTGTGAGGTGAATAGAGAGCCTAGATCTTGGGAGCAAATCTTTACGCCACACACATCAGATAGAGCACTAATCTCTAGGGTATATAAAGAACTCAAAAAGCTAAGCAACAACAACAACAAAAAAATCACCCAATCAATAAATGGGTCAAGGACCTGAATTGACACTTCTCAGAAGATGATATACAATCAATCAACAAATATATGAAAAAATGTTCATCATTGCTAGCAATTAGAAAAATGCAAATCAAAACCACTCTAAGATTTCACCTCACTGCCATCAGAATGGCAGCTATTATGAATACAACAATTAGTGTTGTCAAGGATGTGGGGAAAAAGGTCTACTCATTCATTGCTGGTGGTTCTGCAAATTGGTGCAGCCAATATGGAAAGCAGTATGGAAATTTCTTGAAAAATTGGGAATGGAACCACCACTTGACCCAGGATCCCTCTCCTGAGTCGATAGATACCCAAAGGACTTAAAACATCAAACTACAGGGACACAGTCACATCAATGTTTATAGCAGCACAATTCACAATAGCTAAACTGTGGAACCAACCTAGATGCTTTCTTAGATGAATAGATTAAAAAGCTGTGGCATATATACATAATGGAATATTACTCAGCAATAAAAGAGAATAAAATTTTGGCATTTGCAGGTAAACAACTGGAGTTGGAGAAGATAATGCTAAGTAAAGTTAGCCAATCCCCCAAAACAAATGTCATATGTTTTCTCTGATATTAGGTGGCTGATTGATAGTAGGGTAGGGACAGGGAGCGTGGGAGGATTACATGAACTTTAGTTAGGGCAGAGTGCTGGGAGGAGAAGGGAGAGGTATGGGGTTAAAACTGATGGTGGAATGTGATGGACATTATTATCCAAAGCTCATGTATGAAGACATGAATTGATGTGAATATACTCTATATAGACCCAGAGACATGAAAAATTGGGTTCTATATTTGTAATAAGAATTGTAATGCATTCTGCTATCATATATAAATAAAAACAATAAAAAGTTAAAAAAGAATTTTTTCACAATATTTATTTTATGTAGTTTTATGTGGTGCTATGGATCAAACCCAGCAACTCACATTTGCTAGGCAAGCGCTCTACCACTGAGCTACAGCCCTAGCCCAGAACTTTCAACCACGTTTTTAGAAGTTAGAACATATCCAGCCTTCGCCAAAAGGAATTAATAAATCAAATCATGAAAATTTTATTATATACCTATTATATCTCAGTGCCTTAGAATCTACTGAAACTAGTGATTTTTTCCATTTTCTAACCAGGCACTGAAATGAAAATTTCAGGATATTGAAAACAAAAAGAATTAGATAAGTTTGTTTTGTTCCTTAACTTTCTAAGATAATGCAGGCAGTATTCATGTTATCCACATTGCTTCAAGCTTTCTACCAAAGGTGGAGTTTCTCTGAATATATAGACATGTTTTGTTAGTGACTTCCAAAACATCTCATTTGGGAGTGTAGACCAAAGGGTTGGTCTGAAACTCCAATTCAAGCTTTAAGGAATGCCCAGGCAACCGTTGCAAAATATCCCTGCCTTTGTGATAGAAATAATAGGTCTTTGGCAAAATCTAGTCATAACCTACCTGCCTGTCTATTTATGACACTAAGGGACAAGCTTTTTGTTTCTTTCCGTCTTATTTTTCTAAACAAGCAGGCATCATTTCTAAACCAAGAAGAGTTTTTGGTGGGTTGAATGGTTGCTCCCAAGATACATCCATCCATATCTTAATGCTCAAAACCCATGAATGTGACCCTAAGTGGGGAAAAAAGAAGAAGGAATCTTTGAGATGTGGTTTTGTTAAGGGATTGGGCCCTAAATTCAATGGAAGGTGTAAGAATGAATATGTAAACATACAATGGTCAGACCATTAAAAAAAGAATCAGAACTCTGAGAAACAATCTGTAGCAACCTACCCAGGAATCCTACTCACTATCCACAGTAAGCAGTCCAGGAAGCCAATTTGTTATTTATAAGTCAGACATGTAGGAAGTCAGAACACTATCTCTAGTAACAACCTAGGAAACCAAATATAACAAGTGCCCCCAAATAGTCACTCCCTGATTAATGATGATATTTTCCCTAATTCTTATCTCTGCTTCCAACTTGGGACCAACCAGAGAACACCAAATATACACCCCTGATCAATCACATTGGATGCCTCACTTCTAATTAGCCTGCCTGTTGCTTCCCTAAGTCTATACCTCCAATCAAGTCATACTCCACTTTCTGCCTTTGACTAAGCTAAAATGCAGATGGTAGCCGAATTCCTTGCAATCTCTGAACAAATAGCCTTTGCTTGTTCTCATTTGGTTGATCTTCCATTTATTTTCAGGCTGTCTTTATAAGAGAAAGGTAGAAAGCGACTTGAGACTCAGACACATAGAAAGACCAAGTGAAGATGGAGGCACAGACCCCCATGTCATGTAGTCACCAGGCTGGAAGAGTCTGGAGCCACAAAAAATGGAAGAGGCAAGGAAAGCTTCAAAGAGTACAAAGTCTGTCAACACCTCTGTTTTATTACCTGACACCCACAACTGTGAGGGAACAAATTTTTGTCATTTTAAACCATCTAGTTTGTGGTAATTGGTATGGCAGCCCCAGGAAACTAGTTCAAGCTTTTAAGAAGGAAAAAATTTATCTGTTACATGGCCTTTTCATTAAAGATCCATAAACTGTTGTGCAAATGCCTTAAAAACAATGTTAACAATTTTTTAAAATTCCACTTGTTTTCATAAAATTTACATGTTAGGGTAAGAATGTCTGGGGATTTCCCCAACAGTTCCCCTGAAAAGAAAGGCCCAATCTCTGTCTTCAGAATAAATGTTCTAAATCTCTATGAGGAAGAACACATATAGTCAAATAATTAAAATGGAGAGGCAGAGTAGTTGCTCTCCTAGCCTATCTACTTTTGACCTCTAAGCAATTAACCCTATTTCTTTTGCAAATCATAAGTGGCTAATTCCCGTATCATGCTAAATGCTCATGGCTAGCAAAGTACTCTCCAATGAGGCTGCCTGTTTCTGCACTACCAGATGTGGGGTCCTATGAGTTACTTGTGTTTGTTCCCAATCTGTTTAGGCCACTTGTATTTGATATTGTGCTTTTATAACATATTATATACATAAATGAAATAGCATGGAAATAAAGTTCCTCATTTCTTTAAAAACTATGCTTAATATTTTGGAAAGATCCAATAAAGCTGTGTGAGATAACTATTAAAGATTATAAAGATTAAAATTGCACTCAGATTAATTCACAAGTGCCTTTATTCTCCTCTTAAAGGAACAAAATCTCAGGAAATCTTACTAGTGGGTTAGCTATATGATTTATGCAAGAGATAAAATACAGAACTCCAATAAGTAGACCATGTGCAAAGAAAAGACCCTGGGCTTTCTGAATAGATTGGCAAATGAGCAGACAGCTGTTTTAGGTAAAAAATAAAAGTTTATAATTTTACACTTTTTCATGATTTTCTGGCTTAACTGCTCTTTTCTATTTTATAAAAGCTTTGCTTAGATATAATTTACATAACAAAGTTCATCCCTATACAGTATACAACTCAATGTTTAACCAACTTTTTCAATTTATTGTTTGGATAGAGGACTATATCAAAAGAGGGTTTCTGGTATGTGAACAAAATGCTAAAGAAACAATTCTGCATCTTGGATGGGAATTCAAGGAAGGCTATGTTTGAGCTTGAAGACTGAATAAGGAGCAATTAGTTAAACAGGCATACAAAAAGAAGGATGTCCTAAGCAGAACAAACAGTAAATGTAAAGAAAAGATGAAGTCATGTGGCCTATCCAAAAAAAAAAAAAGGCTTTATCTGAATGGCTTGGGAAGAAGGCTGTTATTTTTTTAAAACAAATTATGCATCTAAATCAACTGTAAAGAATAAAACAAGGGGCTGGGGATGTGGCTCAAGCAGTAGCGCGCTCACCTGGCATGCATGCGGCCCGGGTTCGACCCTCAGCACCACATACAAA